ACATGACCGGTCAGAGGAAATCTTAACCTTAAGAAATCACCACCATCACTACTCCAACAGAAATAGCTATCAGGTTCTATTCAGTGGTAGGCTGCTACTGGTTCGCAGTTGGCCCTCCCCACCTGCCCTTGCCCTTTTCTGTCCTATATTTCCCTGCTTTTTAGCTCAGCTTATTTGTGTGGCACAGCGGATTGCCATGCCTCAGCTGTTTTACTCACCAGCACTGACATAGAAGGTAAGTTTTTCAAGCTTAAAATGGGTGTTTTTTTTAATGCTGCGTGCACACGCAAAGTGGGTGCTCACCAAACCAGTCGTTAAACCGATTGCAGCCCACCACTGGACTTACTTCTTGTTGAAAATAGCAGTCCAGTTTGAATACAATATTGTCAGGAGGCAGAGTGGGGTTGTTTTGTTTTGGTTTTTGCCAATGCTGAAAAAAAAATCTTGCTTATAGTACTTATAGCCATAGGCTGTTGACGTTTAACCAAGTTTTTAAAAATACTTCTGTGGTAACTATTTGTGGCTTCCTTAGTAACCTAACTCATACCCTCTTATGCAACGTTAAGGTTTGGTGTGTATTAACATGCTACTGTTGAATTCAAAGGAAGGGCGCAACTTGGCTGAAAGACAGCATCAGTCATTCCTTCCTTTGACCCATTTTTTTTGTCTCATCCATCCATTTGCCAAACTGCAAATAATAAACAGATGCGTCTTTTCTAAGTTGCATATTACAGTTCTCCTTTGGGTTGTAATTCTTTAAGAAATGAAACAGTAAAAGCTGAATTAGCAGGATCCATCTCTCCAGGAAAGAAACAGAAGCTGAACAACAGTCTCCATGTAACCCACATCAGAACCATCGTCTTGTGATAAAAAGGAGTTGATTTGAGGTCTCCCATAAATAAAGCATTTATCTTAATTAGAATGCTTTTTATGACCTTTTAGATAAGTAATCTAGTTATCCAGAAACTAATGATTAAACCATGTAACCTTCTAGTTCCAATATTATCTTGGAAACAGGATTAGCAGATACAAATAAATGTGCAAGTGTAAGTTTTGGGGAGAAAATCGTAAACATAGTGTTATGGCATTTTTGTACCCATGGTAAAGTTTATAGGCAGATATTTGTCTGCAAATTTTTGATTGTACTTCTGATATTAAGAACCAAGCCCAGACTTCCGCTGTTGTTGTTTGCCAAATGTCCACCAATTCCCTGAACAGCCTTGGTCTTGGACAAGGTGTACATATCAGCCACATACATTTAATACATACATACATACATACATACATACATACATACATACATACATA